GCAGGGGTCACATCTTGTTGAAGAAAGCTTATCCTTCTCCAGTGTAAGAGACTTCTGACATTGTGGTTTAACACAAGGAATGCTTCAGCCATAGCACATGTCCTTAATATGTCAGAGTATGGGGCATCTTAAAGCTCTTGAATCCTAACTCCCCATTTAGGGTGCTATTATCCTTGTTGCTTATAGGCTCCCTTTTCTCCTACGGCTTTTCCTTCCACTGAAGGAACTCATAGAACAAGGCACTATTTAAACAAGTGATTTATTTATTGACCTTTTGGGTAAAAGACTTGAGTCCAGGTTTTAATAGTCACCTGTCATCCCTGTGATTGTGTGGGTCATAATAGCATTTCTGTTTTTAAAACTCTTGCTATTGGTTTGTTGTAATAGTGTATTTTTTTATTATTAGCTACAGTCATATACAATAAATTAAAATATGTGTTCCTTAAAGGTACTTCTAAAAAAAACCATCTGTAAATAGTCTTACAGATTAATCTTTGTATTAACGTCAAATCTGTTCTCATTGGTCTGACTTAATACTCTAATCTTAAATGATGTATTTTTCGAAAACACAACATTGTGGCAGTGGTCGCATGTTCAATTCCCAGCCTGGGGACATTTGCCACATGTCCTTCTCTCATTACCCTCTTTCCTGTCTAACTACTTTGAAATAAAGGCCACTAGAGCCAATAAACCTTAAAATAAATAAATCTTCATAAGTGGCAGAAATACAGGCTTAAAATTTAAATGGTTCAGCATTTTCACTTAAATAAATAATAAATTCTTGAAATATATAACTTTGCAGAAAAATTGAGTTTTACATTTTGAAATGAATTAGTAATAATAGTATATTAATTTTTTTAAAAATTATCTGAAAAATATAAGATCTAATTTGATTCAAATGCAACAGGTCTGACTGAGCATTTTTCTGTGTTTTCCAGTCAGGTCTGCAGACACCAGCCGCAGTAAAACAGCATGATTCCAGCAGAGACATGCAACATCTGCTGGGATAGTGATTCTCAGATCTTCAGGACTTGGGCAATGTTCTGCCCCACTTACATGCGGGAGCTTTGTCAATTTGAAAAAAACAAAAACAAAAAAGAAAAAACAGAAAGAAGCTTCACAATGAAGCCAATGCTTTGTTGCTGTGGATAGCAAAGTCTTTCCAGTGTCTGCATTGCTGTTCTTGGATTTGCAACCAAAACCCCTGCAACCATATTAAGTTTAGAAATGAAATTTCTTTGCTGCCCAGCACCAGCAGATGGGGGTGTACTCAAGTCATGAAAAGCAAGAGGAGGTGTCAGCCATGACTGCTAGACCCTCTGAAGCTTCTCAGCAGCCACACCCTGATATGAAGCATGTCACAACAAAAACTGACTAAATGTAATACTAACTGAAGGATAGAAAATGGTGGGAGCCTGATGGACCCGCAACATGTCATACATACTTTGAAACATTGTTATGTACAAAGATTAATTTTTGATGTGTTTCCAGACATAACGGTTTAATAAGCATGTGATGTCCTGCTTTGCATCAGTAGCTTTTATTAAATAAGCTCGTCTGGTTCTTTGAGATCTGCGATGTCTGAAAGGATTTGTAGCTGTCAGTTAGGAACAAACTGAAAAATATGTTTCAAACAGAGATAAATGAACAGTCCCTGTCATTTTCTAATATTGAAAATTTTAATAATAATAAAAATGGTTAAAGAAAGCATTTCTGCTGATTGTTATGAAAATAATCTGAGACAATGTATGCATATTCTGTCTTTTGATATCCATCTCCTAGGCCTATTTTCTCTTTTCATTAAAGCTCTATTTTTCCGTCCCAATGATGCATTCGTCTTTTACAGAAAATGACTGGGCAAAATGTTTTAGTTCGAATCAGTGCCAGATGAAATAGCTCATTGTGTGAGCTTTCTTTTCAAGGCTGATGAATGTGTGCTGGCTCGGAGATTTATTACATTTCATTCCAGCATAATTTGGCAAAGCAAACGTGCTGAAGTGGAGCTTTGATCTCATCACAGTGGAGAGATTGACAGGACTGCAAATCACGATAGTCATGCTCAAATCAATGGTAAACTCCACATTTGAATTGGGTGTGTTCAGCCAGCAGGTAGACTTTCACACACGAAAGTCTACCTTTGCCTCCCATCTGCCCAAAGCCATCCGATATCCCTCCAAAAAAGCGTCTTCATGTTGATGCTATAGTTTTAATTGAACTTCCTGATCCAAGAAGTTATTTACTTTATTTAGTAAATTCAGTTTATTTCTTTTGGCTTGGTTGGGAGTTGGTCAACAGGCACCAGCATACTGTAGATTTGCTAACTAACAACCTTAACAGTCAGTAATTTTATGTTTTCCAAATATATACAGAATTTTTGTCTCGGCTTCTATTCAGATTTGGCAGACAACACTGATTTTAGCCTCCATGATTTCAAAATACAGCCTTTCTCTATTTGCCAAATATGGAGGCCATAATATATTGTGTAATATTTTTTATTTATGAATTTAAGACAAAACAGCACAAGCATCCACTGACTAACTATTAAATGTTGGTGGGGGTTGGGGTTGTCTTTATATAGGGACACCTCCAGAAAGAGGTGGCAAGATGGGAGCCAACTTAATTTTGTGTTGTTAGAGCCATTTAATGACGTCCTGGGTTTAAAATGCTGCTCACGGCTATGTTTCTGCATAGATTTTGCATGTTCCTCCAAAGGTTCTCTTTGGCATGATGGTTGTAGATGGGGGCCAACAGATGCTAGCACCTCTGTAGAACAGTTCTTTTTCCCAGTTATGGCCCATGTACTAAGGCAATAACACTAAATCAGTTTCTTTGGGTGATATATGTGCTGTCTCAGAAAGCGTAACTAATTGGTTCCTTGAAATATATATATATTTTTTTTATCTTCACAGTTTTTATTTATCAATGAATAAAAAAAATAAAGGTGCTGCACTTTTACCGTTAGCTGTACTGAGATAGTTTTAATCTACTAGATCAGGGGTCTGCAACCTGTAGCTCTGGAGGATGAATTCAATGCTGATGCTTCTGAGATTTATTTTGTTTTAAACAGCCTCTCAGTGTGTTTGTTTCTCCCAATATTTGGCCTCTATCCAAAATTTACAGAATGTTTTTTATTCATAAATTCATTAAAGCAAAGGACCAGCTTTGGTTACTTGCCACATTTAATTGGTTTAGCAGCATCTAATGTAGCCAGTGGTCATACTTTCCTTTTATATCCTTCCTTTCTGAATGTTTTTCACTGAGTCCTGGCACCTCAAACAGAACCAGGACCACAATTTTAGGTAATAATATTGCTTTGAAGCAAATACCTATTTAATACACATTTGATTTACAACTATTTGAGCAAAAAAATTGCTCAATTATATTATAATACAATAAAGCAAGAAGAGACTAATGATTTGTAAAGGAATGCATGAGGTTCAAGAGGAGTGACAATACTCAGGGTGCAATCTACTCTATGAACTGGGACTCAGTCAAACTGCACATAAAGGTTTGAGTGTGCAGGTTACATACGTGGAATAATTTGAGAATTGGGACAGTACGCCACTTTGTAACTTCAACATTCAAAATGGTGGGACTTGTCAGTGTTTACGCTTTTGTCCTGCTAAAAAGCACAACTACAACTAAAAATATGCATATTTTAAACATACAGTGCAGGTTTTTTTCTTTAAAATTTCACCACTTGAGATCTTTGACTGTTTAAATATGTTTTTTTTTACTTGTTGAATACAGAGCAAAATTTAGTGTAATAACATGTTCAGTAGAGTGAAAGAAAATTTATTTCAATACTGTAATTTTGAAAACTGATTAGTTTTTTTGTTTTGTTTTTTTGTGGTGCATAGGTTGCTCTGTGAACATTGCCATATTTCCAGGGTGACAAAAAAAAAGAAGATTAAAATGTACAAATGTTCAATTTAACAGGGTGCATTTGACTAATTAGAGACGTGATTAAATATTCAGTTGTTCCTCAAAAAAAAAAAAAAAAAAAAAACTACGTACACCACATGGTATGTTTTACTGGTTTATTGTGAGGTTCTGGCAAATCTTTCAGTTGCCAGAACATATAAGACTGGCAACAGTCACATACATAAAAACTGATTAAGGCAGGCCAACGCCTTAGAGAGGGAGAAGAATGAGAAGAAAATAAAAGCTGAACTCATGCTACAATCTTTGCTCCACTTGGAGTCACCACCAAGGTGAGCTGAATGTAGCCCAGCCTGTGTTATATTAACAAAAGCTCATTATTTCTCAAGGTAATGACACTGATGGTTACCAGGATGTGGAAACCGATGGTGATGCACAGAAGGGAAAATGAGTGAACTACATAAACTCTGACATCAATTATTTTGCCTTCTGTGAGAAGAAAACATTTGTTTCAAAATCATGGCAAAATCTCTAAAGAAAGTAAGAACCAAATTGCTTTATATTCTAGTTGCACAAAATAACTGAATAACTTATTTCCATAATTATGCATCAAATGACTTTCTGCAAAAGAAATTCCAAATAAATATACATTTCTGTGCGTTTGTGACTGAAATTTTTCAGTTGCAACTTCATAAATGTTTTTGGAAAGATTTTCACAAGTGGATATTGTTCAGGAAATCTAGCCACCTTTAAGATTTAATATGATCAAATGTGGTCTTAACGGGATGAAGAGTTAAATTGTGATATTAACGATTTGATCCTCTTGTTAAGTGTTTCAACATAAAACTTCACATCAGACCAACCTCACAATAAACCAATAACAGACTTCTTGCATGTCTGTAGAAAGATGAGCCAGTTAACTCTCGCAGAGCGCCATTGTTTCTGTCATTTGGACAAAATGCCTGTCGGAACATTACTGTCCGTATTAGAAGAGTCTTTATTAGAAGACACTCCTCCTGCTCCCGCTGCTCCGCTCCTCTACAGCCAGTCGATGTGCGGGAGGAAATTCGCAACTCCCATCTCTTTTTTTTTCTTTTTTTCTTTCTTTTTTCTATCAGTGTCTCCATCGTCGTGAAGACAAAGAGGAGCCCTGCAAAGTGAAGATGGCCTGCCGTCAGCAGCGGGAGAAGCCGCTCCTGTAAAGTCACTTGTTTCTGCAAGCGTCCCCGCCCGGAGGCGAGACAGCAGGCGCCGGTCCTCGGAGACTCTCCGCGGCTTGGGATGCGCAGAGATGTGAGAGTAAAAAGAACGAGTGAGCGAAGGATTGTGATTGGCCGCGCTCATCCTGAAAGCCACCGAGGAGCATCGGGCGAGGCATGTCAGAGAATTCACGGGGAGGCATCAAACTTGGAGAAGACGTGCGTCGACGCGTTTGCAGCAGCAGCGGGCTGTGTAGGTAAACTTGCGCCATCTCCCGCCCCGCCAGGACCCAACGAGGAAAGGACGCGCTTTCCGCGGTGCTGAAACGGGTGGGCTCGGCTGATCAACTAGTGAAGAAGAGGAGAGACAGTCTCACTTTGTTCCCCAGCGTCATGGTAGATGTTGGAGCTTTGATTAGGTGAGTCCTGTAATGTGCTTTGGAGTGTAAGAAACGGAGGTTAACAGTTTTAACAGCTAATATGCTGTGTTAAAGCGAATGTAGGCTAAAACTATGTGATTCTGTGTCTGTTACCTATGCTTTGCCTTTATTCAAGTTTGAACCAATAGATTCACAAAGTTTCTCTCCTGAATACTTCATAGCCAATTCAGAAATGCAATTTGTTATTGTATCTTCCCTTTATTTTTTTTTAAGTTTCCATAATTTAGAATTTAACCTTTTTTTTCTTTTTCTTTTTAAAGAAAGATGTCTAAGGACATCTTTCTTATATATGAATGAGTCTAATTAATTGGCATAGCAAGTTTGGAGTTAATAAGTTGGAACAACTTTAAATGTTTTATTTGTCCAATCCATCATTGCTGCATTAAGAACTTTATAAACAGTTAAGTGTTTTTATTTGGTAAAGGAGGAAACCCAGTGCATTGTTGGTCTCTGCGACCTAAAACTTCACGTTACTCACATCCACCTTACACAACATTCTCTGTCTTATTGTGTCCAACTCGCAAATTGCTAGTAGATTAGAAAAAAACTCTCATTGAGATGAAGTTGAGCAATTTGTTCCACAATCACTAATTAAAAATGCATCGATCTGGCAGGGGTAGGAGGTTGGAACTGGCAGATTTTTTGATCAGATCTGTCTGATGTTTGTTAGGTCAAAATCTGAGGATTACTATTATTATCATTTTTTTTAATTTAAAATTATTTTCTCAAAACTAAACACTTCAATCTCTACCCCCTTGGCCCAGACATAAGCAGCTTAAAGCATTTTTTAGTTAATTCTGATAGTCTTTTAATTTCTTTATTTTATATTGTGTCACAGTTCAAATTAGCAGGCCAGCCCTGCGAATTTTACAGAAGTTGTATATTGACACTTATCTGATTTAAAGAATATAAATTGCTGTCAGTGAATCTAATGCTACTGAATTTTCTTTCGTTTTTTTTTTTTTTTTTTGCTCCATTTGAATTGTGATTTAATTGGCGTTTTATTTCATAGCAGCATCAATAATTTCTCAAAATAACATAGCAATATACAGAATGTCTTGCATAATCTGTTTTGTTTTTATTCAAATCAACAGGACAATTATAATTATCAGGTCAGACCTACAAGGCATCAGTATGAGAGTGACTGGTGAATCTTTATTGCTGATTTCTTTTTCATCACACTTGTTTTGATGTCACATTGAGCTGTAGGTTTAGGCTGAAGGAAAAATGTTCACAGGTAGTCTTTCAGTTCAGGTCACCTAAAAGTAAAATGGATAAATAAGAAAAACACACATTAAATAATGTAATGAGAAGTTTTTGAATAGGACTTAGAAGTTTGAATCAAAAGAATAAACAGTTCAGATAGCGGTGCAAATTGCAGCCTTATGTAGCGATCATAGAGCAGTAGGTAACTGAATGTACATAAGTTAAATGTTCCTCTGCTACGAAAGAGGATTTTCAATAAAATGGTCAATCAAAATTTTGTTAAGTTATTTATAACAACAGGCTTAAGGATAGTTACATGTAGCATTTATTGACATCCTTTATTTTGTGAAAATGAAACTGATTTTTTTTTTCTTTTGTTTTTTGAGTAATGTAGGAAAAGAGTAGAAGTCTTTTACCCAGCAACAAGTGCTGGAGAGCAGCACTGTGTGACTCGTTGCTCCACAGACAGAGAAAATTACCAGCAGGAACGGTGCGTTTTAAACAGTGTGATGGGGAAATATTTTGAATTTGCTTTAGTTCGCAGGAGTTTTGGTTCGGTCCTCCTGATTTAACTAGTGTAATTCAGCCATGTTTGTAGGCTGCCTTGTTTCCAGACACCTTTTCTACTCTGACCAAAAAATTCAACTGAGGATGTTGCATGTCCAAATGTGGTTACCTTTCTTAAATGAAATGAGTTATAATATTCTACGATATACCTACTGAACGTTTAGTTCTATGCAGGTGAATGGTGTATTTTTCCTAATGGTTGACTTTTGAGCCAAATTGTGACATTCCCTCTTTATGCAAGGACAACTTATCAACTTGACCATAAACAGAGCAGTAACTGCTAATAAGGCTGCACAGCAGCTTTAATCAATTACTGTGCCATTGTCCTCGCAGTTGGACACACGGTGCAGGTGTCATCAAAGCAGAATGAGGCTCCTTTGAGGAGGAAAATTCAAGACTCAATGACTTCACTCAGATGGGTCACCGGACACACAGCAGAGCTTTGACGCGTACAAATTGTGCTTGAAGATGCTGCGTTCATCCCCAGGAGGCTCGGCTGCTGGCAGGAGACCAGCAGAGCAGGGACATTGCACTCCAGATGGCCCAGAAAGGCCAGAGGAAGAGGGCTGTCCAAGCCCAGCTGGGAGTCCGGGAAGCTGGACGGCCGGTGTCGTTTGCTTGTGTGCGCACGTGGTTGTGGGAGGGAGAGAGGATGAGAGACGTGAGGAAGAAACTGGAGAGGAGGAAGAGAGTATGAGCATGTTTTAGGGAGTGATTGGGCAGGAAGAGAATTCGAGAGAGAATTATATGGGCGCCTCTATGAGGGTTCCACTGCATGAAAGTAGTGATAGGAAAAGTGTGGGAGGAGGAAGAAATGAAAGAGAAGATGAAGGGCAGCCTCTGCAGTGTGTCGATGCTGAAGGAAGCGACAGGAAAGTAAAAACAGTCAAAGACGGGCAATACAAAAAGAGAAAGAAACAGGCTTGCATGAATGTTTGAGTGTGGGAGGGAAAGAGAAAGAGAGAAATGAGACTGGAAGATGCAGTTCTGCATGTGTCTGCTGGTGCGTGTTTGCAGAGAGAGAGGAAGAGGAAACACTGGAGGAAAAACAAAACAAAGGAATAAAATGTGTGGGAAATGTTGTGTGAGAAGAGAGGGAGTAAAGTCAAATAAGGAAGGAGGGGAAAACTGGTGTAGGATATGCCTGGTCATTTTGTTGTCTTTGGTGTTACCTGCTATACACCTGTGCAAAGTCCATTTAATATTAAGCCTCCTTTAAAGTATTCTGGAAGCTTCGACCTTACCTTTTTTTTTGTTCTGGGCTATCTGCTTCAAATCTAAGCACTTCAGTTTCACCACCATCCCGCTGCAGGGTCATACTCTGATATTCAGTCATCACACTGATGTTAAAAACATGTTGCATGTGGGAGGCTTTTTCTCACGCTTATTTTATTGCTGCTTGTTACCACTTTGAGGCGTCTAAAGAGAAGCCACCTGAGAGCAAGCGGAGAACACACAGAGGCTTCACACAGATAAAGTTGCCTCACTGTTACCATTTGGGAAGCCACTAGAGAGCAGGTGGAGAAGAAAGAAAGCTCTTTTCATTCTGCCACATCTGTTCTGTGATGGAATGGAGCATGATCTGCACTTTGATCACAATGAATTATTTCTTTCCCTGGCTATAAATATGGTCTGTCTATGTTGCCGAGTCTCTCCCCCTAAACACTTTCAACTAGGAATCAGTGCTTGCCTCTGAGTGGCTCTCCCCATGAGCGTGTCACTGTGAGTGTACTGCAGCTTTGGTTTCCTTTCTCACAGTGAAAAAGAGCCACAGTTCTCACTTCAGTGAATATGTTCGATCCAATTGAGTGTTGGCGTTACATTGATTATAAAAAAAGAGTAAAATTTCAGAAATCAAACAGAGGCTTTGTTGCTCTGTTCTTAAGTGAAATTTTGCGTTTGTGTGTGCGTTTGCGTGTGTGTATGTGTGGGACGCCCTAAAAGGAGACCGGATCGATAGACTGTCTGCACATGTTGTTCACCCTGTGGCATCTTTATTGAGAATTTATTGCTCGACATCAAAACACATTTGCTATACAACATAGCAACATGTGCTGCTGTTTTATAGTTAATATGTTTTGATGCGCAATAACCCATGAAGACTCCAGCAGGTGCTGATCTGGAGTCTTCTAAACAGGAACTCAGCTGAAATTAGACTTGTGTCAGGTTTTAATATTTACAATGCTGTTCAAAATTCTTTCCTCGGTTGGTGTATTTTGCCCCAAAGGAGTCAAACTTTCTTTTAATCTTTCAAAATGGCCTGGAGCAAATTTTGGCAAAATTTCTGCTGGGTTTATGACTTACCTTTTAATATGAAGGTCCTGAGTTTAAAACCTTTCTCCATGGATTTTAGAGGTTTTCCCATGGTTTCCCCAACCATTTTGTCTCCAGGTACTCTGGCTTCCTCTACCAACCCCAAAACATGCACATTAACTCAATTGGCATCTTTATATTGCCAAAATTAGCATCGCATGTGTTCATGGTTATTTGTACAGCATGTTTTTGTGCTATCCTGTGATGTACTGGCAACCTGTCCAGGGTAAACATGCCTCTTGCCCAGTGACCACAGGAGATATGGACCTGTTCCTGCGCAACCCTGATCAGAAATAAACAAGTATAGGCAATTGGTGTGTGCTTATTTAATTCACTTAAGACATGGTAGTAAAACTTTTGATTAACTATTACATCCGTTGTATTGTAAAAGTGCAGTTTTTCAAAGGCTCAAAACAGTCACTGTCTTGCAGAAGTATTCATCCTATCAATTAATTTTTTGATTTTGCTGCTTTACAGTGCCACACCCTTAGATAATAGACCATTACAAATCAGTGTATAACTGTAAAACAGAAGGATATAATATTTATTTTTTTTACAAATATATATGCAGTTGTGATTTTTTTATACCTGCCATGTGTTACATGAAACGTTTTGTTAGAATGAGGCAAAATGTGGAAAACTTTTGAAAAGCACTTAAAGACAACATGGTGTCAATTCAGAATGTTAAATTGAAAATAAATGTCAAAATGTACAGTACATGATCAGAACCTTATTTTTACATGCCATCAAATCCACAATGAAGAGTGATACAGATGAAAGATCAGTAAATATTTGACATTTTTTCAGGGAAAACATTGTCCCCGGGAAGCAAAAATCCTTATTTGTTTTGTTATTCAACCTCATATAACAAATAAAAGGAAAATAAAATGAAA